ATTAATTATTAGTATAGGTAATGTACCTATAGCCATTGATAAAATATAGGTACTATATATACTATAGCATATGAATACATTTAAATAAATATTATTATCAAACTGTTAGAATGTCTGTTCTATTTTTTTAGATTACTTATTTTACTAAAGAATATCCTTGGATTTATTTTAAAAATAAACATATTGGATGTAWGATCTGTAGAGATGTAAATCAAAATTTATTAAATCAAAAAGGATCACATGTGGCATCTGAATGGTCTAATGGAGAAGTTTATTCATCAGGTTCTACATTAGAAAAGAAAAAAACTAATTTAAGAAAAAAAATTTCTAAAYACAAGAATTCTGCTGCTCATTTAAATGCACAAAAAGTTATATTTTTGTCTGAAAAAAAAGTTATTGATGAACATATTTCAATGTTGATGGTGACTGATCAAGAAAATACTGCAAGAATATTTCGCACAGCTTATTTAATAGCTAAAAATCAACGCCCTTATACAGATATGCCAAAACTTACAGATCTCCAAGAATTAAATGGACTTGATATGGGAAGAATACTTCAGACTAACGTATCATGTTCTAATATTWTTGATCACTTGGCCTTAGAAATGAGAAGGAAGATTGCTATGGACATTGTGAAAAATAATAGAAAAATTTGTATTTTAGTTGATGAATCCACAACATTAAGTAAAAAATCTATGTTAGTTATATGTTTACGTTKTGCAGTTGGTGAACTTAATGAAGTATACACATTTTTGTTTGATATTGTTGAAGTATCAAATACTTCAGCTAAAACTATAAAAGATTCTATATTACAAGTATTGGAAAAATATGGTATGGACACTCATTTTTTGAAAAAAAATTTAATTTCTTTTGTAAGCGATGGAGCTTCAAACATGTTAGGCCGTAAAGCAGGAGTTGGTGTATTATTACAGAAAAGTTTTCCTCATATTATACTTTGGCATTGTTGTAATCACCGTCTAGAACTTGCTGTTGCGGATTGTTTAAAAGAAGTAAGTGGAATTAATCATTTCCAATCATTTATTGAAAAACTATACTCACTGTATCACATGTCACCAAAAAATATGAATGAGTTGAAAGAATGTGCTAATTCCATTGATCAACAGTTATTAAAAATAGGTAAAATATTTACAATTAGATGGGTAGCTTCAAGTCTTCGGACAATAAAAGCTGTTTGGAATAACTTTGAATCTCTTTTTCAACATTTTTCTAATGCAATAATGGATGATCAAAGGAGCTCTAAAGAAAAAGCAAAGTATGTT